TCAAACTTAACAACCTGCGGACATGGACATTGGGGATCGAAAGTAGTCTTAGCAGCAGCTGAGAGAGACCGGAGATACGGAGGTCGTGATCGCTCACTCACTCACTCACTCACTCACTCGCTCACTCACTCACTTACTCACTCACTCACCGGCTCAGCTCACGACCCACTGCTGCCGGCGGCGGCGGCGCGCTGTTGAATTGAGACCGTCTGGGCGCGCGTCCGTGACAGGTTGATTTGTGGGCTCGGTAAACGGCTTCTCCAGTCGCCCGGGGCGCTCAGTCGTGACACTCAATCTGAGGAGGTGGCGCAGCGCCACACGCGCAGCCAGTTATGTCCGCTCAGTCGTGCGTGTCTCGGAGGACCGGGACCGAGAAAACACGACCCGCCCGCTCCACCCGCGCACGAGAGACCGTCGTTGGTGCTGTTCCGAGCGTGGGAGAAACACGCGGAGAGAGATAGAGAGAGAGAGAGAGAGAGAGAGAGAGAGAGAGAGAGAGAGAGAGAGAGAGAGAGAGAGAGGGAAAGAGAGAGAGAGAGGGAAAGAGAGAGAGAGAGGGAAAGAGGTGATGTTTCACTTATTCAATAAAATAGGCATGTGTCTCGGCAGGACATCTCTATTTTGGACCGCCTAATTAAGTCGATAAATGCAACCTCCGGCCTTGGCTTAAATTGCAGTTCCATCAGCATTCGAGTCTCACTTAAGGTCTGAGCAAGCAAAGGTCGGGTCAGGTCAGGTCGGGTCAAGTCGTGTCAGGTCGCGTCAGGTGGTGTCAGGTCGGGTCAGACCGGTCTCAGTCGGGACGCAGCCGGTCAGAAGGACGCGGCCATCCATCCGCGGACACGGCCGCACAGCGCCCTCCAATTTGGCCCGATTGGCAAATTGGTCGAGAGTGCGGCGCTCGGACGCACTCGTGTGGAGCCGGCCGCGCTGATCCTGTTAGGGCCCCCCCCCCCCCCCCGAGACACGCCGTGACCACGAGTGTCTCAGGGAGCTGGCAAAGTCAGCACGTGATCGTCTGAGGCATGTATTTACGTAAGTCATCGGAAAGTAAGATGCGGCTAGGTGCACATTTCTGCTTTTTTGCTAAGGAGAGCAAAAATAATTTGTTAGTCTTTTAGAAATGTTCTCTATCTGTACCGTTTAATATTTTCTTAACGGGATATGATGCCAATGAGCATCATGTGCTCTATTTCACCATGCAATTAAAAGTTCAGTTTTGAAACCCTTTCTCCAGGAAAAATACTTTCATCTCCTAAGTGGTTGAGACAGCTGCACTTGATTTAACACATCTGACTGATTATGAAACTTGGTTATACCTATTGGCAAACGGCAAAATATATTTCCATTTTGCACTAGCGATACATGGGCACGGTGCGCATAGATTCCACGTGAGTCAACCTTTGAAAAGGATTGACGCAATGGAGAGAATATGACGCCAGTCTGCCATTCCGGCGTTTTGGAGGTGACTCCAGTCCCATTTGGATTCCGATCTATCCCTGTCTGGTACAGCCGTCCGGCGTTCCCTGCGAATTCTGCCCCAGTTCTCGCTCCAATCATTCACAGTTGATGCAGTAAACTTGTCCGCCAAGCTGGCGCTGGCCAAACGTCCGCCAGTTCTGGACCGGCCGGCGGGAGGGATAGCTCGCAGTTGACAGTTCTAACACAGACTCAATTCAGCAGGAAAACCGTAGCAAGATCCATTGCCCATGAATCGAAGAAATGTCCATTGTTCATCAAAGAATTTTCCGCAGATTGGATTATGTCGTGATAAGTTTCGCCCGGTTTCTATGAGTGACGATGGAACTGTATCACTTCTTCGCTAGAAACAGTAGCTTAAATCTGGTGTTATTCGGCATCATCTTTTGAATATGTCCTACGGTATAATGTGCAAATTTGACACTAATGACATCATAACACCGAATTGGTGTATATCCGTGATTTATATTGACAGAAAAGTGAAAACGGAGCATTATGAACTTCAACACATTGAAAAATATTCAAATTATCATGGCCTCTCTAATGTGCTTACCTTGGCTTCATCTGAATCCTGCATGGACCGTAACCGTCAAATTATAAGCTAAGTAACAGAAACTCGCGCAATAAACCTGGCCATTATGTGGCCTAGGGTGTTTGTTAAGCCCACTGCAGACATTGAATGCGGTCATTACGTCATTTGCCGGCCAGCTGATTGTGCTACATTGCCGACTGACATGTCCTGCAGCCGTTGAATACACTGAGCGTAAATTAAGTGTTTGTTTTCAGTCCTACTTTTAAACTCTACCAGCGAACATTCTAGCAAAGGTCCCACGTTAACAGTTATCTAACTTACCTTTCCAAAGTTATCGGGACCTCTATGGATCTATCCTCTATGAATGCTCGTTTCGTGTCGATTTAGGACCGCAGTCGGCTCGAGTTTTCCCAAGAGGCTCCATTGTGCGTGCCGTGTTGTCGGGGTGCGTAGGACAGTCCTGGTGGCCAGCCCTCCCGTCGACAGATATGAATAGAGGGAGATGGTGCGTGCGAGGTCAGTCACAGGATCAGATCAGACGGCCGCAGATCAGACGATGTATTTCGGTTGTCGGCGTATTTGGTGTGAGAGGCGCGCGCCACGCGGCGCCAGCAGCCGTGGAGGTGATGGAATAAGATCTACGACAAGATGTAAGATCTTATCTGTGCCACGAGATGACAGACGTATCTTCATGCGGAGAGTAAAACAGCTCACATTTTTTGTGATCGACGCGGAAAGGATAGAAGTTGGGTTGTTTGTGGTGAATATGACGGATGCGGTATCATAATATGATGCGCATCCCCGAGGGATTGAGCATTGGAATTCGGATGTAACTATTTAGATATTGTCAGTAAAATGTTGTAAACAAGATGGAGATGAAAATGATGGGTAATGCTATCCGGATACGCAATATGCTTACCCAATTTCTAGCTTCTAACTACCGTCATTTTACGTTATTTCTTGGATCTTCAGGAATAGGAATGTGAATACCTTGAATGTTCGGCTGATTATAATTTCTATTTACGTATCTTTTACCAATAAATCATCGTCTACCAACATTTTAATGCAGGAAACATCAGGATAATCGCATTAGCTTGATGCCTATCTGACGAGACTTTAAGCCTACTACAGGGAATGTGGGTGATCCGTATTATCCTGATAGGCACTAGTTAAACACAAAGCGGTGTCCCAGGGAAGGCCCTCCACCCCGGGCCGGGGACGTGTCAATATTTCCCAGCTGTCGAGGGCGACTATGACGCGCTATGGCCATCGTAAACAGTTCACGTCGGCGGCGGCCCACCACATTTCTGCGAAACTCGCTGCGGCAGCATTTTCATCAGTTTATGCACCGAGCCGACCACTCAGCAGTCCCGGAGATATTGGAAGACGAAAATATCGCCGCGCCGTCAAATTGTGCCCGCTCGTCGCCGGCTGTCTCCACTCATTTCCCCGGTCGGGAGCGGGGCTCTCCTTATCTCCGTCGGCCGCCGGACTCTCGAACGTTCCACTGTGTCGAAAAATCGGCCGGTGAGGATAGCTCTGCCGGTAGTGGACATCCAGGACAGTCATGGCGACTGGTACCGTGTTGATGCCGAACTTCGTCATTCTATGCACTCGTTACGCTCTCACAAACTGCAGCCAAGGCTGAAAAATTCGAGCACCCGGACCGTCTATAACATGGAACGGCCGTGCCCCGACACTGGCTTACAGGGTACATTGGTAGCACGGGTCATTGGGCATCCTGTGCATTGTGCAACAGACTCCCAGCAGTGCGACCTGAACACAGGGAGAGGGGAGGGAGACCGGCAGAGGACAGATCGCGGCGGCGGACGGGCAGGAAGGCTAACGTGTGAAATAACATCAGAGTGATTGCAAATGAAATGTTGAAGTTTGGTAGCTTGAAATGGTAAAAAAACAGGCTGGGTGACTTCAAATAAACAGACTGCATCTAGTGTCTTCCAAACAACGTTTCAACTCCAATAAGAATGCAAGAGACACTTTCATCTAAAATATATGCAAATCAATAATGAGAAGGCGTAAACGTAATGGCAAACGGCAGTAATATGAATGTAACGCCACGCAACTCATAATCCTGACAGTTGTTTCTTCTTCTTTTTTGCAAATCACTGACAGTTTTCGTTCGCTACCGCATAGTTACATGGCTCGTCGGGTCACTAATATAGATCGACTCTCCCGAGCAGCGCTTATGTATATTAGCATCTGCGGCTGGGCGGCGCTCCATGCCGGGCAGAAATCGAAGGTGCTCGGTCGGCCGTGGCTCCCGGAGGATGACCTATCCAGGACCCGCTCCCCGGGGACGGCGATGGGATAAGATCAGCGGTGGCGGTCGCAGCGCTGCACGGCACCAGTGCGCTGGGGCTGGTCGGGCGGCGGCAGAGCGCGTCTGACCTGATCTGGGAGACAGCTCTGCTGGAGAAGGCTGAAAGGGTGGACGAAATGCAGTACAGCGCGGCGAAGATCATTCGATTCGGCATAACGGAGATCGGTTAATATTTCTGTTGGCTTGGATGCAAAAATTGAGCTCCGAAGGATTGATATTCTATCGACTGCAAAAGGCGACCTCAGCACTGGATCGTACCGAGGCTGTCCATCACGCCGTTTTACAATGTAAAAGAAGCTCTCGTACGTCTGATCGTGTGTAATCTCAGAGCGTGCAGCGCTCATGTCCTGTCGTCACCCGGCGGCCGGCCGTTTTGTCGATGCTATCGTCTGTGACAGGGCGGCCCAGTGACCGCGTCTGTAGCGAGTCCACGGTGCGTGTTCGACGTCCGATCGCGGGTGGGCCGGAGCATTTGCACCGGTGGTCGGTGTCGCGGCGACTGCAGGTATCTGACCGGGGCCATGTCTGAATGGCGCCGGCTGCATACGCGAGCCGGGAGTTCCGCTACCCGGCCGCCTGAACAGGATGAGACGAGTCGGGGACACCAGGACTGCAGTTGTTGGGATTGATGCAAAACAGAAAGGCCAGTAAAGACGGCGATGTTTATTTCAGTATTGTATGAAACTAAAAAATGCGCTGCAAAATTAATAAACACTATAGATGAATGAGCTGGTGCCACATAAAACACAGTGAGACACTTTATGTAGGTAAAGGTACATACATAGGGTTTATACACTTTTCAAGGTCAGAGAAAGTACTATCTGAAAAAATAATGCAAAGCTTGACAGCTCACATCAAACAACCATGCAACATATACTTTACAATAACCACGCCCACCCTCTCTGCACACTCTCAACTCTCACTGGCCCACTCTCACTACCTTTCTCTGCACTGCAAAATTCAGTGCATTAATTTCATGGTGTATGTACGCATTTGAGGATAACGTATGTACTATGTAGTAGGTATAAGCGACAAAAGCGACACTTTTGACTTAAAATCGATAGATGACATATTCAAGCATCTTACACGCCAGCGGTCACAGATAGGAACAATGAAGAAACTTCACAAAGGTACCATTCTCCTCGTACCTACTTCTGCACGTGATCTTAACATAGGTACACATATGAAACATCACAGCAGCACAACACACAGTTTTGCGACGTGAGCCATGACCTTCGAGCTATGAATGATGCACGGTCAGCCTTATATTAAAGGGATATTACATTACATTAAGAAAATGCTCTCTGACTGATATGTGACACAGCCCATGTCACCTGCTTCAAACATTCGTCCTAGGTCGTTTATTAAAGGTTCCCGTTTCATTTATGACAGTGAATAAGTGAACACGTCACCTTAGGTGCGTGTAAACGATGCAGGCCTGGAACGATTCCATAAATATTGGGACACATTTCGGCCCAGATAATTATTTAAGGGCTGTTTTCATTGGCAGATAAATAAATACTTTGCGACATTGACTTCAGTTAGATCAAAACAATAAATGATCAAGTTCAGTAGAATGAAATCAAGAGCACATATATGTAGGTAAGCATAATTTGTTCTGATAATGCTGGCATTGCAACATGATATTGTAAATTTTGTTTAAAATCTAATAGAAATGTGTTACGAAGACCATTTTTTTAACATGCATTTGATTTGTATTTTTTGTTGTAGTTTCTGTTATGAAGGAAGTTTCAAGTTACAGCTCTGAATCCCATTTAGATGCAATTAATTTAGATGCAATTAATACCAGCAACTTTGTGTCACCGTTGTCTCTAAAAATGCTGAATGGCATGATACAGTCATAATCGAAACTATATTTTCTCCCCTGGTAGATCTCTCGCAGTTCATAAATATGATAATATTATGTGAGCTGAAATGACTGTACACTGTACCTACACTAGTTCATAAGAAGGGATGCGACTAAATTAGCTATTTTTATATAGCCGGCATCGCATATATAATCTATTTCTACGCTACTGCTTAGGAAGGTCACCACATGGTGGGTACGGGATTTTGGCTTCTACACTACTACTCTCTTGTTCAGTCACATTACGAACACCATTACATCAGCCACCGCTCAGAGCGAAGCAACGAGCCAGCGAGAACAATAACATCTACGGGTAACACAAGTACGATGTTGAGATAGACTCTGTCTTCAGCCACTTGTCCAGCCCAACTCGCTAGTAGACACCAAACCACGGGATCTGGCAGCCGACACCAAACACCTAACGGGGGGCCGTGAGCTCAGGTCACTGCGGAGTCTAGCCAGCCCTCTGCGCAGCTCCCAGGCGTTGCGGCCGCGGGTCGGGCCGGACCGGCCGATATGGGGCGGGGGTCGTCAGCCGGTGCGTCGCCCGACCCCGGCGGTCAGCCGGCGCGCCGGCCCGGTTTTTACAGCGTCCGCCGCCCCGATAGCGCATCTCGCCCTTCACAAGGACTTCCAGGCGGGCTGTTTGGAATTCCAGGAGGGACGCCGTCCCAGTGGAGCCACGCTCAGTCACCGCCCCTATCCGATCCATCGGCGGCGTCTCCTGAACGGCCTGTCATCAATTACCGCGCATCGCCGCCTTCTTACCGAGACATATCCCCACTGTCGACACTGTGGTGCACCATCTCCCCCGATCGCACCCTTCACACTCTGATCCCCAATCGGCGACTTAGATCTGACTCAACTATCAGTCCTTCAGAATCTGAAGATCACAACCTTAGCACACACATTAATCACAACACCGATCCGCATCCTGAGCAGTGCCGGTGCGGCCGTCTCAGACGCAGTCCACGGCACCGTTGCCGGTGTTGCCGTTCACCTCCTTGATGACGCTGGAGGTGCGGTCCAGACTGTGGAGCCGCTCCAGCTGCCAGGAGCCGCCGCGCGCCAGCTCGTGCGCCCGGCTGCCGCCGTTCCGGCTGAGCACCGAGGCGCAGCTGCTCTGGCGGCCGTACCGACAGGTGGCAGCCGGCGAGTGCTGCGCCTCCACCCGCAGCACGCTGTTGAGCCGCGAGCTGTTGGTGGACGAGGCCGTGTTGAAGGTGCTCTGGCGGCTCAGGTGCCGGGCCGCCGGCGGCATGCCCAGCACCTTGAGGAACGCCTCGCGGAACTTGGACGACATGACGTTGTAGAGGATGGGGTTCATGGAGCAGTTGATGTACACCATGATGCGGATGAAGAAACGGATGTTGTGGTACAGCTCCGGCCCCAGCGAGATGACAGTCGCGTCGTCGGCGATGATGACGAACAGGCGGAACACGCAGGCGGGCAGCATGCAGCAGAAGAAGCAGACGATGACGGCGATCAGCATGACAACCACCTGTTTGCGGGCGCGGTAGTTGCTGGTCTCGGCGCCGCTGCGCGGGTCGTGGCTGCGCGAGATGCGGAAGTTGGAGCGCTCGGTGCGCGGCTCCCGGATCAGGTGCAGCGTGATGACCGAGTACAGCGCCAGCAGCACCAGCATCGGCATGAAGAAGAACACCACGTCCTTGGCGATGTAGTACATCTGCTTCAGGGTGGTGTTGGCTGCCGTGACGCAGACGGGCACCTTCTGGGAGCCGGTCGTGTAGTCGGTCATGTAGTACTGCACGATCCACAGGATCGGGCTGCAAAGCACACAGACAAACCGGCGGTAAGTTGGCCGCTGTGCCTGATGCAACGCGCCGCCGCGCTGCCTCAGACAATGCGCTTTGATTTATAGCTGTCGTCGCGGCGTCGGCAGGGCGGCTGGCGCACCCTGCACGGACAGATCGCGCCGCCTCCGAGTGATCGCTTCCGTCGCGGAATGTGACCAGCACGAGCGTCTTCCCGTGCCAGTCACGTCGGACGGGGACACTTACGTCTAAATATGGCCGCAATAAAGAGCCGCGCCCCACCCTGAGGTTCGCCGTAAACGATAAATCTCCACCTACGGGCTGCATTGCCCGTCAGGAGCCTCCTTTACGGCAGTGGGCATTCTTCATAGCCACCGGGTGCGAAGGTGCTTCGGGCTCATTTGATGTCAGGTCAGAGGGCATGTTCTGTTAAAAGAACACACGATTGCGTGGCATCACGCTTTTCATTTCCATGATCAAGCGCCTCCGTATCATACGGCATCGGGAAAAAATATTAAATAAAGTTTGTCTCTCCAGTAAACACGCTTTCCATTGGATGCGTTGTGTTCCCTTACTCCATAAAACATACATATTATGCTTACCCGTCTTAGCCGACATAAAGAAACCTCGATTGCATCGAGCACCTTGCATCAAGCGCTACCTATGGGCTTCAGTTCATTTTACCTGAACCCGAACACTGTAGTTTATAAAAAATCACAGCTATTATCTACCCGAGAGACTTGCTAATTTTATTGCTGATCTCTTGTTTCGGACTAGAAAAGTGATGACTCATGTATTTACATATTTTCAATAAGACCATTTATCTAGAGTTTAACAGGTTCCGATTTTGCACTGCAACAATGTTCAGCCGGGTTCAGGATTCCGTTAGACTTTGATTTACTTGCGCTCCTCAATCCGCTTGAGACTATTGAGGAAGAGGTCAATCGGCGGGTCATATAGCCTAACTAGTCAGGTCGTTAACGGAGCAAAAATGTGCTCTTTTGATTGACGAATTGACCCATCTGTCACAATAAATTGCTCTGCATAGCCATTTTAAAGGCTAGGAAATTATTCCTCCTTTTCTTAAAAGTTATGTTTTATTCTTTTATTATTGCAAGATCAACAGGTACGTTTCAAAATAATCTATCCCTACCAATCCTCCTCTCATCAGACTTCTAGCTCCTTCCTCTCATCCCAGCGCCGCCGAATATCCCGAGTCCCGACTGACCCCTCCCTTGGCCGCTCCGCTCGGGCTCACCTGGAGGTTAGGATGACCGTCAGCTGACTCACCTGGAGGTCAGTCGACTCACCTGGAGGTCAGTCGACTCACCTGGAGGTCAGTCGACTCACCTGGAGGTGATTAATGATTATGACCGTCAGCCGACTCATCTGGAGGTCAGCTGACTCACCTGGAGGTCAGTCGATTCACCTGGAGGTGATTATGGCCGTCAGCCGACTCACCTGGAGGTCAGCTGACTCAGCTGGAGGTCAGTTGGATCACCTGGAGGTCAGTTGGATCACCTGGAGGTCAGCTGGATCACCTGGAGGTGATGATGGCTGTCAGCCGACTCACCTGGAGGTGATTATGGCCGTCAGGTGACTCACCTGGAGGTGATGATGGCCGTCAGCCAGACGACCACGATGACCACCAGGGCGCGCATCTTGGTCCACGTGTAGCCGGCGCGCAGCGGCTTGCAGATGGCGTAGTACCGCTCCATCGATATGGCCATGATGGTCAGCACTGAGACGTTGGCCACCAATTGCTCCAGGAACGGCACCGTCATGCCTGGGTGGAGGGGAGCGCAGCCGGTCAGACGGAGAGCGCGCCGCCCGGCGGCCCGTTTATAGGCTATCCTATCAGCAGAGCCGCACATTGGCGTCTAATAGAACGGGACACAGCTGAATGGGGAGGAAATGGCCACAGCTGAGTCCCCGTGACACCGACCGACAGCGAGCTGAATATATCAGAATACAGTGAGACACATCAGCACTCCAAGGAGGATCATGTGAAAAGTCACGTTTACTGCTTTTGAGCGGACAATATACAAAATAAGGACGATAGACAGTCATGAAAATGACCAATGTAAAATTAATGAGAAAAATGATGAGCTCAAGGGTCTGTGGAAAGCTCCGTCGCTGCCGCCCTTTCCGTATTCGATGGTGCGATCCGAAAAAGTGTTTGTGGTGCGCGCTTGTTTATTTTATCTTTTACATCATTTAACATTTTAAAGAAATGTTAATTAAAATAGCAATGAATCATGAAATCAGCATAAAATACCTTTATGTTCACAATTTTGGTCGTGCAGGAAAAATATGCATCACTTGTAGGAATAATCTATTTGCCGGAAGAGGGTTGCAACTATGTAGTGATGTCAATTACGGAAAATCGGAATACCGATACCAAACCAAATGCCAACCAAAACCAAGGGAAAATACCGAAACCAAACCAACTTGGGAAACTGAGGGAAATACCAACTTTTTACCGATTTATTAGCCTCTTATACATTAGTGAGGGTTTATGATACCAACAAAATACCAAACACATTACGATTGAAATACCAAATACCAAGTTGGTATCGGTTTGGTATCGGTATACCAAAAAGTTTGTATCCGATTGACATCTCTAGTTGCAACCTTATAAGGTTTGTTATTTGACGTTTTCAGAGTCAAATGTTTATTTGAAGTTGGTAAATATTGCAAACTTGCTGCTCTCACAATCCAATGTGACTGGATATTTTCAGTTTTCACCACATGTAAAGCGACATTTTGCTCAAAACAGGATGACTACCGTGTTAGTTCTGTTTCTAAACAATGAAGCTTGGTTGAAACCGGAAGTGGAACATGCAGCAAAACATCCCCTGTGTGGCTCTATCCAAGTGAATGGGACTTTGTATTTGTCCGTGTGGCATTGTTAGATAATGAAAATTAGCTGTTCGCGGTGTTGCGTCGCCACCAACAGCCCCTCATCATACTTTCCTGGCTGATATTATATTTTTGTTGCCTGTTGAGTTTCCTAGCTAGTATGCTGTATTATGTGCATGTGTATTTGCATACACATTAATTCCAAGAAAATATAGGTAAACGACAAGGTCATCTTACCAAGCGAATCAATCAGCAAACTCGCATGGTAGAAGGCTATTATTAGGTCTTTGTAGTGTAACTGTAGACATTTTCGCCCAATTCTCGGATCTTTATTAGCAGAGTATTCACCTATTCCACGGAATAGCTCTGATGATTCATTGATAATACTTGTTCATGCCCATACAATACGCCAATACATCACTCCAGCTTTTATCCCCACTAGTGTTGAATGAGGTTTCCAATAGCTACTGAGAAGTGAACCGATAAACCCCATCAGGATTGCCTGTATCAGTAGATATTCTACTTTAGACGCGACGCCAACGCGTTACTGATGTCTTCCAACAACGCGCCCTAAGATAAATGGCAAAAGTATCCAGACACACACACTGCACAGCTGTTAATTAACACTTATCTTCTGAGGAACTTCTGAAATGGACGTCTCTGGCACTGCCGGCACGCGTGACGCGGCTGCCGTCTATTTTCGGAAGTTACCGGACTCGGAAATTGGCGGAAGGTGGGTGGGGGTGTCTGTGGCGTGGCCAAGTAGCCCACCGACTGGACTCCAGTGGCTGGCTGTTCCAGATTGCATGGAACTGCGCAGGGCCGCAAAGATGCCGGAAGAACAATGAATGGCTATGGCTTTCGCGCGCATTTGTAAGTGCTTGCGTGAGCTGGGACCATGATATGGGTGCTCTTAAATTAACTGTTCCACGTTGGGATTGCTAAAACCATAGATAACATGAATCATAGATTCATGTTATCTATGCGCCCTATAGGTGCATAGATAACATGAATATAGGTGCATAGATAACATGAACCAAACCGGTGCGGAAAACAATAAGTTTTGCACCCTGTAGGTATCTACCTCACTTTTTTCTTCCAAAATAAATTCAATTAAGGCACAAACCATTTGATGTGCGACGTGCGTTATACCTACATTATACAAGTCAGTAGGCGGAACTATGGTCAAGCGTACCCATTTTCGGGAACGCATTTTCGTTCCCATGTTTGGGAACGATAAACCCAAATATGGGAACGCCATGTAGGCATTATTTAAAACAAGAAAAAGAACCGTTAAATGACGTCCAAAAAATATAAAACGATCGTGAACCGCCTGATATTTGTCTCAATATTGTTGGGAAAGAGTTTGATATTGTAAGGCCCATCGTAGTTTCAAATCGTTCCCCTATTTCTAAAGCAGTCCATCATCCGGGCCGCGAGCCCAAATTTGGGAACGCTCTCGTACACTGGCGCTGCAAGCGTTCCTTATTATGGGAACGGCGTACCCAAAATTGGGAACGATTTCACTGACGCCTTTCAGGGACTCTTTTCATTAACAAGCATCACGTCCAACGCCGCAAATTATTGTTAACGCAACAATCATCAGATGACCTTTCCGGCAAGACCGTCGCATGTTTCGCCCGGTCTTCTGCGCTTTTATTCCCGTCGATCTCGCAGCGGGCACACCCCCCTCTGCAGGATTACGTAATTCACAACGCTCAGCGATGTTCAACAAGGTCTTCCATACCTATATCCACCGTCCGCGCTGAGGGTGGAGACATGTCAAGCACCTGTCTGTTTATCACCGATAGTTGACGAGTACAAGGAAGTATCCAAAAATGGGAACGCTGAATATGTTACACCCTCAAAACACCTAGTCCCAATGAAAATCTAGTTTTTTCCTTTCTTGATGAGTGTAAGTGGCAAAAGGCCTGGTAGGATGGGCACGAGGAATTATCGAAATCAGCATAAAAATTATAAATAAGCCACACAGAGCGAGCTATATAAGAGAAATTCCCCCAAAACGATCACGCTTAGAAACACGGAAGACAAAAACCACGCTCATGACGCTCCTTATAAAACAACTCTAAACAGCTAGCATCCAAATAAAATATGTCTTTCCGGGAAGATATAATACAGCTGGATAATTTTCAACCGCTTAAACTGAGTTTACAACAGTAGCTCGGTAAATTCACTCACGTTCCACGCGGTCGTCCGCCCCGACACAAAAGTCAACAATATTACCTCGGGACCGTCCGCGTCTTCGCTTGCATTTGTCAGCATCTGGTGTCGATAGTATGAAAGTTCATAACCAGGCGAAAATTATTATACTTTACCTCAAACTAAAAAATGCTTCATTTTCCTTAAAATTGCATGTTAAATGTCGTATAACCCATATTTCCACCATTCTGTCATTTTCAAAAAATCATTAAAAATATCATTCCACGGTCAATTTCCTTGTTCCACGGTCAGATTAAAGATAGCTTTATGGAGATTTAGTAGATACTTAAATCAGCGTGCACTTTTTTGAGACGTGATGCACTTTTGAGTTTTAGTGGGAGAACGGCCGAAAAATTGCCTTCCGTTCTCATAAATGGGAACGCCCGTTCCCATATTTGGGAACTCCGTTCCCAAAAATGGGAACGTTCCTATATTTGGGTACTCATGACCATAGTTCCGCCTACTGAAGTATAGCTGATTTATTGTATTTAGACATTGTATGTATTAGTTAATTGTATTTAGACATCACAATAATTCTAATTATCTTCATCATAACAGCGCATTGTCGAGAAGATAAGATGCGATCGGGCAAAGCAGCGTCGTTGGCGCGTTTCCTCCTCCGTTACGGATCAGGGCACACTGAGATCTACATCCTAATTCCAGCTTCGCCTTCGGGTAGGTCATAAATGCCCCACATGACACAAAAGAAGCCCTAAAACCAGGCTCAATCCTGTCCACCATCCCCGAATAAAAGAAACAGGTCTCTCACGCTCTACCATTTTCGCTGCCTTTCCTCTGCTTTTTTATGTTATCCCTCCCATTCTCCCTTTCTCTTTCCCTCCCATCTAGACAGCCTCAAAGATTCAATGAAACGCCCCAAAACCTGGTGGAACACCAGCAGTAAGAAGACTGAGTGGTGGTTTAGATGGTTAGATTGTCGAAAGTCATCAGTGTTTGAGCGACTCTCGCCAATTTGTTTTTCCCTGGCTACTCATGACGGTCCGAGCCCGGTCGGGCGTGGCTGTCTAGTCGAGCGAGTGGCGCTGGAGAGAGACACGTTCACTGTTGAGTCGTCCACCGCTCGGCCGGCACTCTACCTTCCGACCGACGAGCTGGTCAGGCCGTTTGTTCCTGTTCTTCAGAAGGGAGGAGGGGGCGGAGGATCGGACGGTCGGCACAGGAAGGGATCCACTATCCACTGCACTGGGGCGGTTGCTGCCTTTATGAACCGCGCGCCAGATCCAGTCCCTCCCCGCTGACCTGTCTCACGCAAGGAGATGGACTTCCTTTCTGGTGACGTATTAATTGATAGCGTTTTCACAGTGAGACCCCGATGTCCGAGAGCCAATACTGCCCGGAGCCCATGCGTCAGACGAAATGAAGGTCGACTCGTCAACATTCTGCTGTCTCGCTGTTTGATGCTCTTCGATATGTTAGCTTATTTTGTGAAGATTAAAAATTGACAAGTGATACAGCAGACGTCCATGCTAATCTCATCAAGAACTGGATGTTTTGTCAGTTTTCATTAAATACGCTTGGCTCAGAATGCCAAATGGATTCCTCGTATTAGTTGGGTGGTCTCAACGTTATTAGCGACTAGCGAGGAAATGTGCGAAAATGATTAGCCATTCCACCGGCTTTGGGTCGTAATTGGCTAGATCAGGAGCCGCGATGAATTCCCTATCACCATGTCATGGGGTGGTC